TATTAGGTTTTATCTGGCAACGCTACGAATCACTCAGTATGCGGGTAACAATTCGAGTTGTCTTTCAACCCGCACCCACCATCGGTATTTATATTTACTTTAATACAGATTTATTGTTTGTGGTGACGACTTGTGGCCATCGCCCACGGACAAAGAATAGGCCAAGAATATTGCTCAACTAACTTACTAGCTTCTTTCTTCTTCTTCCTATTCGTACACTCTTGACAGAGTGGTCGTGGTCATACACCAGTCGAATACCGATGCTCTCGCGATGCGACGCCACGTGACACGATGTTCCGCAGAGTGAGAGCAATCATTTATGTTGGAGTGAGTCACAGATTTTATGGGGTCGGTCCATCGTATTGAAGATCGTCCACGAGATCTTTTGCCCTCGACTTTCCCTTGCACCACCAACCGCTCAATGGAGTCCTCATTACGAGTGGTGTGCCCGAAGAACTCGAGGATTCGTATTTGGACTGTTGACGATAGTCTCTCTCCTTGAGCTCTTTCAGGATCAAAACGTTGGTACGGTGCGCGGTCCACGTAATTCTGAGGAGACGTTTACTAACTAGGTTTACAGTATTATCATCGGTTTTTGCGGGTTGTAGACACAATAAAAACTAGTTTTAATGACCGTCGGTCTACGACCACGACAAAACGAAAGATTTTCGAAGCGACCGAAATAATAAAATTAGAATTATAAACGCGAAACTAAAGAGTAAAGTAGTGTTACTGCTTCATCGAATGATACTTGAGTAACATCCGACGTCTTCCCGAATCGCTAACCACTCTTCGCTTTGTTTGTTCCTACCTAAGCTGATAACATACGAGGCTATGTCAGCGTAACGGAGCGAGTAGGTGCTAGTCTTACACTAGTCGTAGCAAGAGCCGTGCTTCGCAGCTAACACTAGTCCTAGCAAGAGCAGTGCTTCGCAGAATTTACCACCGGATCGGAAACGCGACCCACTGAGAAGATCCGTCGAGAAACTCAGTGGGCTGTCTCTGAGGGTTAAGCTCTTCGAGTTACGTACGTGGTACTATCAGTGTGCCTTGAGTCCCAACGCAGAATTTCGATAGTCTGCTAGTCGTGAGGGAGACCGGTCGTATACTTCTTTCGTCTTTATTCATGCGTAGATCGAACAACTCATGGTAATTCCGATAATTAACAATTGGCGAAATCAAATATGCCATCACAGTGCTTCAAAAGCTCGCAGTAAAGAAAATACGCACAGCTTTATTATGGCTTTGAATGGGCGATCAATCTTACAGCCCATCTGGTTTTAGGTACATAGCTATCAGAGCCTCTTGTGATTACCGGGGGTAGGACATCTTACGAGTCCGCACGGGTAGGTACCACCACACTGCCTATTGCAGCCATGAAGCAGTAATGCGTTTCGATTTGAAGAGTGGGCTAGCCGTTGTAACTATACTGAGACCTTAGAACTCAAATCTCAAGGTGGCGGCATTTACATTGTAGATATCTATGGGCTCCGGTAACCACTTAACGCTAGTTGGGTAGTGAGCTCGTCCACCCATCTACACAATAAAAAAGAGCTCATACACATGAGACAATTCCATCACTCATATTGAGGGCTGAAATCTCAATTGTATTGTATAACAGCATTCCCAACGTTGACTGCATCGCAAGAGAAATGCTTGTAGCCAGATAAGCAACGCTATAGTGTTTTGAATTACCTGAACTCGATACACCATTGACGTAAGAGTGAATGATAAAAACATGGGGGCGCCCCTCATGTGGGTAATTACGTGATGTTATGGGTGATTGAAAGTATAGTTCGAACGATTCGTCATCTTAGATGTGTGCCGCTTTCATGGTGTTGTGGTTTTAGAGTCATTTGGAACATACGGGCGTCCGAGGTCGAAAAAACTAATAAGACACCGTTGGTAAGGTCTCTAGAGAATTTGCATGTTAACCGTTGTACTGTAATATCTAGACTTAGACTAATACCTAGACTACGAGCTACAGCCCCGACTTAAGCCCTAATGATTTCTATACTTTCCCTAAAATAAAGAATAAATTGCGTGGACAGAGATTTTCATCACCTGAAGAAGCTGTGGACGCCTACAAAACGGACATTTTCGAGACCCCAACTTCCGAATGGAATGGTTGCTTCAATTATTGGTTCCATAGTATGGAAAAATGTGTCAAATTTCGCGAAGAGTACTTCGAAAAGCAATAAATACATTTTTAAATAGTAATGATGTGTCACTTCGTTAATTCCCGAAATTTTCAGTGCCGCCTAGGTATTCATATCTCAAACCCGGTGACGGCATTTATTTTGTTGATGATTGATATGGGCTCCAATAACCCTTTAACGCCAGATAGGCCGTCAGCTAGTCCACCAAGTCTGGTCAAAATCGGTCCAGCCGTTTCAGAGATTAGGCCGAACAGACAAACAGACAGATAGACAAAAAAAAATGTTATTTTGGTATATGTACTGTGTATACCTTAGATACTTACGTATTTAGTAAAGAGTGGTTATTTTATTATTACAAACAGACACTCCAATTATATTTATTTGTATAGATTATATACAGGTTTAGTTTGGTCAAAAATGACCCAAAATTTTTAAATCCTATAGCCATCAGAACCTCAAGGCTGCCACCCACCTTGAGACTGCTTCAGGATCGTCAGAGACACCAATACATCATGACTTTAAAATGTACATAATCCGGCTTTATATTAGACGGCGCGATATTTATGCNCTTCCAGGCATTTCGTTGTGCAATTATAACTTCAACCCCAAGTGCTGAAACATCACGGTTACTTCGATGGTCCCAACAAGCAGTTCCTTCCAGGCCTTTCCTTGTGCAATTATAACTCCTACCCAAGTCTCGATGTCCTGGTACAAAAAAATAATCAAAAATTTTCGACCCTATGAAAAAGCAAGTTGCAATGAAATAAACATCTGACTAAGAGAAGGAATCTAAAGTTTCAATGAAAACCAACAAAGAAGACAAATTGTGGGTACACTAGAAAAATGACAATGGTATTGGAAACAAGCTGGGAGCTACTGGACCTTGGAAGTCGTCGTGGCCTAAAGGATAAGACTTTCGGTACATTCGTATCTTGCGATGCATCGGTGTTCGAATCCCGCAGGCGGGTACCAATTTTTCTGATGAAATACGTACTCAACAAATGTTCACGATTGACTTCCACGGTGAAGGAATAACATCGTGTAATTAAAACCAAACCCGCAAAAATATAATTTGCGTCATTACTGGTGGTACCACCGCCCCGCCTATTTCTGCCGTGAAGCAGTAATGCGTTTCGGTTTGAAGGATAGGGCAGCCATTGTAACTATACTGAGACCTTGAACTCATATCTCAAGGTGGGTGGTGGCATTTATGTTGTAAGTGTCTATGGGCTCCGGTAACGACTTAGCATCAGATGGGCCGTGAGCTCGTCGACCCATCTACACAATAAAAGAAAACCCTTCATGAGCTTCAAAGAAAGAAAGAAGTTCAAAGTAAAAAAATGCAGAGTTACAATAAATGTTGGAGAAAAAGCCTGTCGTTTTTGTTGAACTCGTGGAGACTTCACCGGTGACGATTTCTCCACCTAATTAAATATTGTCGATCGCGTATATTCGCGAAAGACAGTTGCCACAGTATATTGAACTGAGATAGAAAAATATCGGGTTTTATTTTAAAATCATTTGTATGTTTTGGACATCCACTGCGCGACTCCACCTGTGTAAACGCATGGCGCGTGCGCACACACACACGCGCGGGTGGCGCCCACGCGTTCGACACAACACACTTTATCACTTATCTTAAAGGGTAGACAGAATTGTGTTGTTCTTTATTAGCCTATCTAGTGTGGGGAAATGTATTGTAAGCCCGCGTGAGCATGGTTGGACACGGAGTTTTGCTAGTGGTAGGACGCCTTTTGAGTCCGCACGGGTAGGTACCACCACCCTGCCTATTTCTGCCGTGAAGCAGTAACGCGTTTCGGTCTGAAGAGTGGGGCAGCCGCTGTAACTATACTGAGACCTTAGAACTTACATCTCAAGTTGGATGGGGACATTTACGTTGTAGATTTCTATAGGCTCAGGTAACCACTAAACACCAGGTGGCGTGTGAGCACACGCACCAAGCTAAGTAATAAAAAAAAATTAAAAAAATCTACCGCCTTTTTCTTCTTCAACCTAATTCGACGAGTGGGAGAGCCATTTTACAATTTAGTATTTAGGTCGCGAATCACATTCGTTCTTACCAGATTCCATTTTATTATTCCAAATCTTCCAAATGATGCAAAAGTATAGACTGCAATAACGGCGATCCTTCCCACATCTGAACTTTGATTGATACGCGGAATAAACAGAACCATGGTACCAAGCTCAGGGGTCTTAAAACAGCCTTACCTTTATTCTTCTTCTGAGTCGGTTTCTTCATTACTGAAGGTCTTGTCTAATCTAAAATGTTGACCACTCTATGCACAATGCTTCGCCACGTCTTCCTGTCCTCGGCGGTCTTTGTAGACCCGGTTATTGGCAGGCCGGTGAGCGTCTTAACCAGATCAGACCAGCGGATAGATGAGCGTCCGCGTGATCTTCTCTCGTCAACCTGACCAACTACCATCAGCTTCTCCAAGTTATCGGGCCCTCTACGAGCGATGTGGCCGAAGTACGCGAGAATACGTTGGAAGCAGATAGCGAACAGCCTTGTGGCAATACCGAGCTTCTTCAGAATGGACAGGTTTACCTTTATTACCGGATTGAAAATAGGTCAGAATAGTGTCACGGACGAATTTCAGTGAAATATTAGTAATAGATACAAGAAGCCAGAGTAGCAATGACATCTACCGATGAATAGCACAAAACTCTTAGGTTTTCTTAAATTTTCTGATCCATATTATGCTAAGACTATGGTTAAGAGTCTGGGACAACAGTAGAGTCAAATCGTCAATAACACTAGTAACAATGAAATGAAATGCAAACCAAAAAAGCATATCAGACAAAAGCTACTTAAGAACAATGGAGATCATCAAGCTGCGTGACCAGACAGGCAAGACTAAGGTATCGGAAGAAATATACAACTGACTGACGATTGCCTTTCAAATTAGTATGCGTTATAGCTTTACGGCAAAAATAGGTAGCATTGTGGTATGCTATAAAATTTCTGTCTGGTATTACAATGTGAACATTACGTCAATGAAAATCATCATATTTTAATAACTCATTGAATAGATAAATATCATCATTGTATGCCAATGAGGGCGACACTCGTCTTATACATATGTATATGTGGACAGCTGTAGCAGAATCACACAAGGCATTTGTCTCTTACGTTCGTATCTACCTTTCAATACGTTTTCAATTAATAAAAGTATTTTGTTCACTAGCCTTAGAAATACTTTGGTTGACATTTCAAAGTGAATATAAAAGTTATTGAAGTTTAATAAAAGTAAATAGTGGTCCCGCAGTAGTGAAATTCGACTATAATTAATTGAAATTATGAGTTTGGACATTATGAACTATACTTCTATAGTCACGAATTTAGCCAAGACTACACTAATAAAGATAAACAATATTAACCTATTCTCAATTTGACCACAGACCTTAAGCAATAAGAAAAGTTTGGCAATAAACAAAGAGTATATGTGTGTGTGTGTTAAATACATGATAGTATGTGTAATGTTTTCTTTATTGATTTAATGTATTTTTAATGCATAATTTTAAAAAAATATTCTTCTTCCAACTTCTTCTCTATATTCTCTATAAATGTGGAAAATTTCATAGTAATCTGTCCGCACAATCTTCGTGAAAAGGGGTACAAAGTTTTTGCTTCACTTATTAATATATAGATAAGTAGTTAGTAACATGAAAGTAATTGAATAGTGTACCACCACCATCTTAGTCACATTCGTTTGTGGTAATGCCTCCTACCACCGTCTTGGTGGTGTGCTTCAGAAGCTCCATAAATACCAATCTATTCTAAGGCTCTCGGATGAAGAAGTTGCTAATTATAAAAAACAAAAAAAAATGTTTTATACCAAGATATTAAGTTTTGCGTTTGTGGCTAATCAATGTTATTTTAATTAAATTGTGTATGTTTGAAGTCGTCGTAGCCTAAAGGATAACACGCCTAATGCATTCGTATAACTCAATGAGCTTGCAACCCGCGGGTAGATACTAATTTTTCTAATGAAATATATACTTAATAAATGCTCACGAAGGTTTCCACGATGAAGGAATAACATCGTGTAATAAAAATCAAACCCTCACAATTATAATTTGCGTAATTACTGGTAGTAGAACCTCTTGTGAGTCCGCACGGGTAGGTACGACCACCCTGCCTATTTCTGCCGTGAAGCAGTAATGCGTTTCGGTTTGAAGGGTGGGGCAGCCGTTGTAACTATACTGCGACCTTAAAACTTATATCTCAAGGTGGGTGGCGGCATTTATGTTGTAGGTGTCTATGGGCTCCAGTAACCACTTAACACCACGTGGGCTGTGAGCTCGTCCGCCCATCTAAGCAATAAAATAACAAATAAGAAAAATGTTACAACTGAAAATTTGGGAGACTCGACATTGCAAATTTGAAAATTATTTCGTAAAATTTGTATAAACTTTTTTTTATTAATGTCTCAACAGGCAGACGCTCTTTTGGCCATAACGATGCAAAGTGGCCATTGCTACCAAAGCACGGAGGACGACGGTAGACTCCTGACAAAAAAAAGGGTGCGTGTACTTATGTACGCGCGTAAGAAGTTATACTTTATTTTTAATAAATTTATTTCTTTATTTTTTAATATTAAATAATTAATAATAAATATTTAACGTTAAAAAATGAATGCTAATAACACTTTTTTTACGAGTGTACATGCGCGAAAGTTCGCCTGCTGCTATATTCAGACTCACCAAGTTACGTCGGTCGTATTGTAATGAGCGATTTAGTAGGCAACTTCATTTCTGTTATTTTTTGTGTCACGGTGCGCGCGCGACGTAAAATTTCATTCTCATCAATTTTTCATAACGCGCCTAAAGAAGTATAACTTCAAAAAGAAACAGATTCTCGTTCAAGTTTACTTGCTCCATGGATTAGAAGGGTCGCTGTTGAGGGTAAGCTGCGGTCCCACGTCTCAACATCCACCTTGTGTTGTCTATTCCTTGCAGTAGCTTTGTACCAGGTAGTCTGTGAGTTGTAGACATAATCAAAGCTACTTTTAAGGTTTAATCTTGAATTTATTATTGTCATTACAATATCTCTGATGTTTCGTATACCTTACAGTTAATTGTTATCACGTTTATCTGTTAACGTAATTCTAATTATACATTTTACTTTCGACAAGAAATTTTAATACTACCACGTTCATGCTTTTAACCGACTTCAAAAAAGGAGGAGGTTCTCAATTCGACTGTATATTTTTTACTTTTGACTGGGTGAATCGATTTTGATGATTCTTTTTTTATTAGACAGCTGACGCTTCCCGTGTGGTCCCTTTTTGATTTAGTTTAGTTCTAATAATGGTATCCATGACAAAACCATATAAGTGTTAAGTTTGCATTAAGTCCGTGCGCGACAAATAGATGAATAACTCAATAACTCAATATCACGCCAACCGATTTCGATGATTATTGTTTTTAGTGTATATTAATTTGCTTTGGAATTATTATTTTTTCTATTTGAAATCGGTTTTTGTTAAAGCATGTCTATTTATAATTATTTCTTTGAAATGAAAGAATTTCCTAATAAATTTCAACCCTTCCGCCCTTCCTAATCAGAAGCGGATATGTACGAATTCGTGTTCCTTGAAAATCTCTTCGATTCTACGAATCACAACCTACAAGCGTGCATCCCTTATAAGTCCTTAGGGGTGGAATTTTCAAGGATCTTTCTTTAGTAGATGTTTATAACATAGAATATATTAACCGCCAAAATTTCAAGTCTGTAACTTTCATCTCTTCAATGATGAATCAGTCAGTCAGGACGCGTAGTAAATAGTGGCTAAATAAATATGGATTGATAAAAGTAACTAATCTATAGTTTTAGCCCCTTGACACTGAATTACACGTAATATATGTAAGATTAACTTGAAAATTACGTACATATTAATTTTGTATCTTTTTTTTGCTTTTATTGCTTAGATGAGTGGACGAGCTCACAGCCCACCTGGTGTTAAGTGGTTAATGGAGCCCATAGACATCTACAACGTAAATGCGCCACGCACCTTGAGATATAAGTTTTAAGGTCTCAGTACAGTTACAACGGCTGCCCCACCCTTCAAACCGAAACGCATTCCTGCTTCACAGCTGAAATAGGCAGGGAGGTGGTACCTACCCGTGCGGACTCACAAGAGGTCCTACCACCAGTAAAGTATATTTGTGATTGTTTTAGAAGACTTTCTCGTATATGTTTAAGGATTTTATAAGTAGCAATTAAACTACAAAAACAGTGTATATATGAGTCGTCTATTATCAAAGGTGGCAATCTGTGCATTTGGACAAAAAAATGTTATTGATATGTCAATACAGATTGATTTGAATATAATCGTTTCCTTCAAAGAATACGGTTCAAAACCTGCATTAAATAAAGGTTAATAGTTAACCTGTTATTTATCTAAGATGTCTTTCCGAAGAGTTTTGTGATTGCCAATGGAATTCAAAGTCAATAATTCGTTTTTCTGATTTACCAATATTGTTCAAAAGTCAGATTGCCGGCTTTGATAATAGACGACTCATATATACGTTATTCTGATAACAAAATTAAAATAGATATAATTTTATTACAATTTTAGTTAAGGCATCGAAAAATTCTTATTTCGATTTTAAATTCGAAGTGGTTATAGACTATATGTTATCGTAATTTTTCTTTTTACACTATGACACGTTCGAAATTAAGCTAAGATTATATTGCCAATTTTTCTAGATATGCGCAAGTTTAAAAAAAAACGCGATACGTAATGTCCACTGCTATGTATAATAACTTCACTAAAATATTTCTTCGAAAGACATCAAATACAAATAGGATATGGATTTTAAAACATTCAATCAATCAGGTTTTTTTAATGTACGTAACAATTATGTATTTTATTCAAAATTCATAGCCATTTAACAACAAAAAATTCTAACAAACAATCATCCCTTCGAGATTTTTTCATCAAGTTTAGTCAAAATTTAAAATAGTAACATTTATGCCAATTTATGGTATGTATGTGTATAGATAATCCAAATACCTACCTCTACTATTTTGACTGTAAAAATAGTAAACAATTCCTGTCAAAATGACATGAAGCATACACACATTTCAAAAATGGAATATCCGTTTCGTTTCATGTAAACAATAAAAAATATATCATTAACAAATGTCATAGTTACAAAATTTACGAACGACGATACATAAATCAATCTACGAACGCTTACCTCGACGTTTTTGACAGCTGACAACCACCAGCTTTCCCGCTCGCCTTTGAATATGTGATAATCTTACAAATAAAATAACACACAACTAAATCACGAATTAATTTCAAAACCGAACTGCTGTATGTCAGGAAATGTCAATTAAATTAAATTTAGTAATATTTCACGAGCGCGTGTTTTTTTTTTTAATGTTACGTGAGCGTACACACGCCACGGGAACTCGCGTTATACTGAGCTCCAGCTAGAGAGAGGGCGGGAACGCATCGCGCTGTTAACTGTTGGGCGGCTTAGCGCATTCGGGGCAGTATACGCTAATTGCTTTTGCTTTTGTCATTTTACTATTTTTTTGTTACGTTGCACACAAAGTAAGCTCCTTTGAGTTTGTTTCGTATGGGTTTTTATGAAAGACTCCGGGTATGGAATTTACTGTCCCATATCTTTTTCAGAGAAAAAAAAACTGAATGCAACCCGACCGGATATTCTGGAAATTCGAGTCTTACCTCGTGATACGTAATGTTGAGATACCAAAATTAATAGCTTAAAATCTGTCAGGCGATTGGTTCAGTGAGAGCTTTTTTTATTTCACTTGATTGTATTCACGTGGGCAGTATACATTGAGCATGGTTAAACAAAACATGAACAAACAAATATGGATTTCTCGATAGTGAAGGCATAGGAATTAATTACTAAAAAAAAAACTTCAACACGAATTCGTTGTCTCGACCAACACCGTGTTGTGACTTTAAATCAATTATTTAATTATATTATTCTTAAATGTAGTCAAATGTTTTCATTTCGATCTAATTGAATTTGAAAAACTCGATAGAGTGGGTTCAATAGCGATGTGTTTCGAATGATGAAATTTAATGGTGGAAGAGTCAGCCCTCTTGACCCTTATTCATGCATAACCTGTATATCCGAGGTCAATAAATCGTTTGTCAATATTTTTTTTGTTCGCATAGTTATGTAGGAATGTTCCGTCAACAGGAGAAATTCATCGACATCTTAAGATTTACAAACCTGGACTATTAGATTTCCAATTAAAAAAAAACTAAATGGTGTTGATTATTCTAGTAGTATTCTACGCGCGTTGTCGTTAAATTCAATCGTGTTTTAAGTAAACCTTAATAGGTATGGATTCGGAATAAATCCATCGTGCTTTTGCTAAACCATAATGGGAGATCCTGCGTAGACGTAGTGAGCTACAAAGAGCAATGGGCAGCTATGCTTGGAGTTTTCTGCGATATTGTATCAGTAACTAGCTGACCCGGCAGACTTCGTAGTGCCTCAATCGAGAAATAAAAAAATAAAAGACCTAAACTCTTGTATAAAATAAACTTAAAACAAACAAAAGGAATCTATCCGACGGGGACACATCAAAGGAAAAACTAAATTATTATTTTTATTTAATTCAGAGAATTTTCATATTTATCTACCTTTTAAATCTTCCCGGGACTTCCGCAAATAATTCAAGACCAAAATTAGCCAAATCGGTACAGCCGTTCTCGAGTTTTAGCGAGACTAACGAACAGCAATTCATTTTTATATGTTTGTATAGATGAGGAGATTCGCAGGAGAACCATGGTAACCGTATAAGCTAAGTAGCATCTATACATGGCATTCATTATTACGATTTATTACTTCTGTACTTAGCTCTGCCAATGCCGGTCCCAAGCCCGGATGAGGAAAACAGGTTAAGTTGGAGTCCGACCTTTCCACCGTAAAACAGTCAACGCCAAATGTCAGGTGGCGCTTTAATTAGCCGGACCCAAATAAGACTTCAGATTTGAAATAAAATCCAAAAGCACTGCCGTGGAAGGACGTGAATATCCTCTATGTGTATTTTCCCAAAAAAGCCTCATGAGACCACGACCATCAGCATTGAGGATTATCAACGCAAGGTGGTGGAGGACTGCACTCTGCAGGCAATTTTACGTACTCCTGTAGCTGCCGGTTCCAGTTTCGTAACACAATGTAATTCCTTCACCGTGGAAATCATTCATGAGTATTTGTTAAGTACCTACGTATTTAATTATAAATAAATAATAGTTTAAAAAAACTAACAAAATACGCTTTTAAAGAAAATTCGACTAAAAAATTGAAACTAAATTTGAATTAAAAATAATGTAAGAAAAAATGATTTTATTGTAAAAAAGCGTGTGGCGCATGGTATCAGTTCGCTGATCTATTAAAAAAAAAAGAAGAGAAACCTTTGGGAGCCCTGTGAAGTCTTGTCGGACCACACGAATTATTCGTTTAACTTTTAAAATACATAATATTGTTTGGTAGAGCAGTAATGGCAGCGAGTTGATCCCCTGATACCAAAGGCGACCTGACGGGCAACTAGGCCAATACATGATTGCAATCGGGATCGCTATTACGTTATTCAGAATGAACATAGCTCGTCGAACGGTTTTAAAAGTCAACGTATCACGTACAACGTTGATTAGGACAGCGGACAGCTGTTGAGCATGCATGAGCACTAATGAGTACTGGCGAGCCAATTTCAAAACCCTTTTTTTTTCTTTTTTATTGCTTAGATGAATGAACGAGCTCGTAGCCCTCCTGGTGTTAAGTGGTTACTGGAGGCCATAGACATCTACGACGTAAATGCGCAACCCACCTTGAGATATAAGTTTTAAGGTCTCAAGTATAGTTACAACGGCTGCCCCACCCTTCAAATCGAAACGCGTTACTGCTTCACGGCAGAAATAAGCAGGGTGGTGGTACCAACCCACGTGGACTCACAAGAGGTTCTACCACCAGGAATTAATCATCCACTTCTGACCTGAAAGAGTACAGCTCAACCAAACAAATCTCTTTAAATTTTAACTTGCCCATATGCATGACGATCGCGACCGCCAAACGATTAAGCAATTGAACCTTTATATTTAGAATAAAGAATGTTAAAACAATAGGTTAGTCTGTTTTAGTGTTTGCACAAGTGTCTGACACAACGGGCGCGTGCCGACTCCCGATCTATCTGTGTTTACGACATTCGTGGACACAGCTGCGGTACACTGTAACTACACGGTAACTCACTCGTACATACACGAACATTAGCCGACGCCGGCAGACGGAGAAGCTGTTTAAGCCGTAACCAATGCCGTCATGATTGTTTTAATATCACGCTGACAACCTTGCCTTTANACAAGTGTCTGACACAACGGGCGCGTGCCGACTCCCGATCTATCTGTGTTTACGACATTCGTGGACACAGCTGCGGTACACTGTAACTACACGGTAACTCACTCGTACATACACGAACATTAGCCGACGCCGGCAGACGGAGAAGCTGTTTAAGCCGTAACCAATGCCGTCATGATTGTTTTAATATCACGCTGACAACCTTGCCTTTAAAAGTTTACGGCTTGAAATCACAATCTTGCCAATTCTGACCAAGCAATCATGTTTCCCGGTTTGGGGAATAACACAAACGGTTAAGGTGTGATAATGTGGTTCACACGGCGGCAACACCAGATAAATCCTTGGTCAATGCCCGGATCAAAAACCTGATTCTTCTAGCTATCATCATAATCATCAGCCTATAGCAGTCCACTGCTGGACATAGGCCTTTTCTTTTTTTCTTTTTTTATTGCCTTTGTAGGTAGACGAGCATACCGCCCACCTGATGGTGAGTGGCTACCGTCGCCCGTGGACTTCAGCAATGCCAGCGGCAGAGCCAAGCCGCTGCCTACCGTTGAGTACTCTCCACAAGCCTCGTTTAAAGAAGCACAAGTCATAGCGCTCGGGAAACACCGTGGAGAGGAGCTCATTCCAAAGCCGGATGGTACGTGGCAAAAAAGACCTCTGGAAACGCACTGTGGAAGACGGCAGTAGCTCCAGGTAGTATGGGTGAACTCTACTCCGGTGGCGGGCAGTGCCATAGTAAAAACGAGATGATGGAATCATCTCAAATAATTCCTCAGAGCACTCCCCATTGAACATGCGGTACAAAATGCAGAGAGAGGCGAAGTCCCTCCGCAATTGTTCGCCACTGAGCACGATCCTCGGCTTCTCTCATCCAGTTCCTGCCAGCCACCCTGCACAGATCATCACTCCACCGAGCCTGAGGGCGTCCTGCACTGCGTTGTCCAGTTCGCGGTCTCCACTCAAGAACGCGCTTACCCCAACGGTTATCGGTTGTCCGGCTAATATGGCCAGCCCATTGCCACTTCAGCTTACTAATTCGCTGTGCTATGTCTATAACTTTGGTTCTCTGTCTTCTAGCTATAGACATTTTTATTATTATTACTTTCTATTGCTTTTGCATACAACTTAACTGATGGTGAGTTGTTACCATCACTCATGGACGTCAGAAATACCAGAGGCTCAGCCAAGTCGCTCCCTACCAGAGGTGAGGTTGTTGTTGATGTCGACAGGTTCTACTTAGAGCTGAGTTAAAAGTCAATAAATAGAAGCAATAGCCATTGAGAAGGTTATCTCACATTAGGTTACATGGTGAGGCCAAGAGCTGGCTTAGAGGCGCGCTTGGTGACCGAAGATGTTAAAAACTTAGCTTCTAAACAACCCCCTACTTTCGTCCGGGACAAAACCCAGGCAGGGGTATTCCCCGCTCAAAACTAAAACCAGATGGCTATTTCTCACCAAAGGCGCCCGATCAACAGAGTCGGAGTCGTCGTGGCGATAGTCGAAACTTTCACTATCTTATTTATCAAGATGGCCACGATCGAGGTATCTTTTTTTTCCTACCTATGCTGATGGCCTTGAGAGGCTCTTTCAGCTTCACCCTAACGTGTGTAGGTGAGCTCACGCGGCTCAAACCGAAGTGTTGCTAACACTGACCCTAGCAAGAGCAGTGCTTCCCAAAATCTACCACCGAATTAGAAACGCGACCCATTGAGAAGATCCGGCGAGAAACTCAGTGGGTTAATTGTCTATGGGTTAATTCGCTCGTCGAGCCCTTCGTCGCAAGCGACGGGTTCGAAGAGGACGGTGACCGGTGCTTTGGTGCCTAAAAGCACGGTAAATGGATCGGGAGGATCCGTAATGATGTGCTTTGGGCGACGACAACTGTTTACCATACGGCCTACAGGATCGGGTATGTTCAAGGTATCAACGCCGCACAAACGGCTCACAACACACACGACGTGTGCGGATTGAACACTACAGAAGAATTC